TAGTGCAGGTTGTTAATGAATCTTCCTCTAATCCTGATTCCCCCTTCTTGTTTATATAGTTAAACTTCTCAGATCATTTGCTCAACGAACAGATTGAATAAGTATAGTGAAAGGATACAACACTGATGCACACCTTTCCTGATTTTAAATCATGTAGTATTCCCTTGTTCTGTTCAAACGACTGCTGCTTGGTGTATGTACAGGTTCTGCATGAGCACAATCAAGTATTCTGGAATTCCCATTCTTCAAAATGTTACTCATAATTCGTTATGATTCACACAATCAAATGCCTTTGCATAGTCAATAAAACAGGTAAACACCTTTCTGGTATTCTCTGCTTTCAACCAAGATCCATCTGACATCAGCAGTGATATCCCTGATTCCATGCATGTCCTCTTTTGAATCCAGCTTGAATTTCTGGCAGTTCCCTGTCGATGTAACTGCTGCAGCCATTTTTGAATTATCTTCCAAAATGTTAAAAAAAATTTTACTTGCGTGTGCTATTGTTTGATAATTTCTGCATTCTCTTGGATCAGCTTTCTTTGAAATGGGCGCAAATATGGTCCTCTTTCAGTTGGTTGGCCAGGTAGCTGTCTTCCAAATTTCCTGGCATAGATAAGTGAGCGCTTCCAGCATTGCATCCATTTGTTGAAACATCTTAATTGGTATTCCATCAATTCCTGGAGCTTTGTTTTTTGCCAGTGCCTTCAGTGCAGCTTGGACTTCTTCCTTCAGTGCCATCAGTTCTTGATCATATGCTGCCTCCTGAAATGGTTGAACATCGACCAATTCTTTTTGGTACAGTGACTGTATTCCTTCCATCTTCTTTTGATGCTTCCTGCATCATTTAATCCTTTGCCCATAGAATCCTTCAGTATTGCAACTTGAAGCTTGAAGTTTTTCTTCACTTGTTTCAGCTTGAGAAATGCTGAGCCTGTTCTTCCCTTTTGGTTTGCTAACTCCAGGTCTTGGCACATTTCAGTATAATACCTTACATTTTCTTCTTGAGCCACCTTTTGAAATCTTCTGTTCAGCTCTTCTACCTCTTCATTTCTTCCTTTCACTTTAGCTACTCTACAATCAAGAGCAAGTTTCAGTGTGTTTTCTATACCCATTTTGGTCTTGTTTTCTCTGACCTGTCTTTTTAATGACCTTTTGTTTTCTTCATGTATGATGTCCTTGATGTCATTCCACAACTCGTTTGGTCTTCGGTCGTTAGTGTTCAATGCATCAAATCTATTTTTGAGATGTTCTCTAAATTTAGGTGGGATATACTCAAGGTCGTATTTTGGCTCTTGTGTACTGGTTTTAATTTTCTTCAGCTTCAGCTTTAATTTGCATATGAGCAATTGATGGTCCCTTCCACATTCGGTCCTGCCCTTGTTCTGACTGATGATTTTGAACTTCTCTATCGTCTCTTTCCACAGATGTAGTTGAATTGATTCCTTTGTATTCCATCAGTGAGGACCACGTGTATAGTCACTGTTTATGTTGTTGAAAAAAGATATTTGCAATGAAGAAGTCATTAATCTTGCAAAATTCTATCATGCGATCTCCAGCATTGTTTCTTATCACGAAGGCCATATTTTCCAACTACCGATCCTTCTTCTGTTTCCAGCTTTCATATTCCAATTGCCAGTAATTATCAATGCATCTTGATTGCATGTTTGATCAATTTCAGACTGCAGAAGTTGGTAAAAATCTTCAATTTGTTCATCTTTGGCATTAGTGGTTGGTGTGTGTCTTAGTTATCTAGTGCTGCTATAACAGAAATACCACAAGTAGATGGCTTCAACAAACAGAAGTTTATTCTCTCACAGTCTAGTAGGCTAGAAGTCCAGATTCAGGGCATCAGTTCCAGGGGAAAGCTTTCTCTCTCTATCGACTCTGGAAGAAGGTCCTTGTCATTAATCTTCCCCTGGTCAAGGAGCTTCTCAGCACAGGGATTCCGGGTCCAAAGGATGCACGCTCCTGGCTCTTCTTGCTTGGTGGTAATGAGGTCCCCATCTCTCTGCTCACTTCTCTCTTTTATAAAAATCTCAAAAGAGATTGGCTTAAGACACAGTCTTGTAGATTGAGCCCTGCCCATTAACATAACTGCCTCTAATCCTGCCTCATTTACGTCATAGAGATAGGATTTACAACACATAGGAAAATCACATCAGTTGACAAAATGGAGGACAATCACACAGTACTGGGAATCATGGACTAGCCAAGTTGACATATATTTTGGGGGGACACAGTTCACTCCATGACAGTGTAAATTTGAATAATAGTCATATTAAGTGGTCTTCTTGTAGGCATATACATATTATTACCAACAGCATTGTAGTTCAGGATTTTGAAATGTTCTTTTAGACAATGAATGCAATGCCATTCCTCTTCAATTTGTCATTCTCTGCATAGTAGACCATGTGATTGTCCATTCAGAATGGCCAGTAGTAGTCCATTTCAGCTCACTAAATGCCTAGGATATCAATGTTTATGCATTTCATTTTCGATGACTTCAAATTTTCCTAGATTCATACTTTGTACATTCCATGTTCTGATTATTAATGGATGTGTGCAGCTGTTTCTTCTCATTTTGAGTTATGCCACATTGGCAAATGAAGGTCCCAAAAAGTTGACTCCATCCATGTCATTAAGGTCGACTCTCCTTTCAGGAGGCAGCTCTTCCCCAATTGTATTTTGAGTGCCTTCCAACCTGAGGTTCTCATCTTCCAGCAATGTATCAGACATTTTTCTACTTCTATTCATAAGGTTTTCACTGGCCAATTTTTTAAAAAGTAGACTCAATTCCTTTTTCGTAGTGTGTCTTAGTTTGGAAGATCTGCTGAAATCTGTCCTCCATAGATGACCCTGCTGGTATTTGAAATACCAGTGGCATAGCTTCCACGATCACAGCAACACGCAAGCTGCCACAGTAGAACAAACTGACAGATGAATGGTGGTTCAAACTCTAGAGTGCTCTTACCCAAATATTGTTTGCACACAATTGTATGATTTCATCAATGTTGGTGGTTTAGTCTGTCACTGATTATTCATCCATTTATAGGTGCTTAGAGAAAACAAGTATGTGATCAAAATAGCAGGGTCACACCTCCTACATCAATCAAAGCACTCTTTTGCCATCTCAGAATCATTCAAAACATAATTGCAGGTAACCACTAATCACTTGTGGTTTCCATTTAAGATGTAACACGTTACACTTGCCCTATACCAATTCAAAACCAGTTTTCTAACCACTGTCAGGTGCTTTATCATTCAAACCCACCAAAGATAACAGAAGCCATATCAGTTATTTTAACAGAATTTAATATAAGGAATTAGACTTGTATTAGAGGACTGAAAAGGAAAAATAGAACACTGAGATAACACAGAGATAAAACTTTAGGAAGCAGCTACCATGCCTAAAAAAAGGAACTGATAAACCCACACTTGCTGATTTCTAGACTTAACTACAAAGCTACAGTAATCCAACAGTGTGGTACTGGTATAAGGATAGATGTGTACACCAATGGAATAGAGTCCATTGTTCAGAGAGTCCAAGAGTCCAGAAATGAATCCATACATCTGTGGCCGACTGATTTTTGACAAGGATGCCAAGTCTATTCAGTGGGGAAAGAAGAATCTCTTCAACAAATGTTTCTAGGACAATTGATCTCCACATACAGAAGAATGAAGTTGGACCCATACCTCACACCATACTAAAGTTAACTCTAAATGGATCAACCTAAATATAAGAGCTAACACCATAAAATTCTTGGCAGTGGATTCTTAGATATTACACCAAAAACATGAGCAACAAAAGAAAAAAGATACATCGGACTTCATCAAAATTAAAAACGTGCGTATCAAAGAACATTAGTAAGTGAAAAGAAAACCGACAGAATGGGATAAAATATTTGGAAACCATAAATCTCCTAAGGGTTGAATATCCAAAATATATAAAGAACTCCTATAACTGAACATTAAAAAGCCAAACAAACTAATTTAAGAAAGGGGCGAATAGACATTTCTCCAAAGAAGATATACAGATGACCAACAAGCACATGAAAAGATCCTCAACATCATTAGTCATGAGGGAAATGCAAATCAAAACCACAATGAGATACCACTTCACACCCACTAGGATGGCTATTAGTAGGAAAACGGAAACAATGTGTTGGTGAGGATGTGGAGATATTGAAACTCTTGCCCATTGCTAGTGGGAATGTAAAATGGTGCAGCCACTGTGGAAAAGTTTAGCACTTCTTCAAAAGGTTAAACATAGAATTACCATGTGACACAGCAATTCCACTCCTAGATATATACCCAAAAGAACTGAAAGCTGAAACAACCCAAGTGTCCATCAACAGATGAAAGTATAAACAAAATGTGGTATATAATACAACAGAATATTATTAGTCAAAGAGAAATGAAGTTTTGACACATTACAACACTGACGAACCTTGAAAACATTAAGTCTGACACAAAATGATTGCTATTGTATGATCCCACTTAATTATCTAAAATAGGCAAATACATAGAAATAAAAGTTCAGTAATGGTTTCCAGGGGTTAGGGGATGGAGATGGAGGGAGGAATGGGGAGTTAATGCTTAATGCTTAATGGGTACTGAGTTTCTGTTTGGGGTGATGGTTGTACAACATTGTGAATGTAATTAATGTACACTTAAAAATGGTTAAAAATGGCAAATTTTGTTTTATGTTTTACCATGGTAAATTTTAATAAAAAGCAGACACTAAGCCAAAAAGCAAATTAACTACAGCCTGACATACCAAATTATTAAAGTGTGTAGGAAAGTATATAACCAGTTGCCATGGAGTCTATTCCCACTCATGGCAGCTGCATGTGTGTCACAGTAGAACTGTGCTCCATAGGGTTTCCAATGGCTGATTTTTTGGAAGTAGATCACCAGGCCTTTCTTCCAAGATGTCTCTGAGTAGACTCAAACTCCAACCTTTTAGTCAGCAGCCAAGCACATAAACTGTTTGCACCACCCAGGAAAGTATATAGCTCTGTAAATAATTATAGCCTTGGTTAATCTCATGATTTTCTAATTTAAAATTTTGAAGTGCATATATTAGTAAGCTAATAAACTGTAATTTTATTATTAAACTACAAATATAGACCTGTAATTTTTGAAAGTGGTCCAAGGTCACGACTGTATTTTGGCCTAAGCATAGGCTATTTTCACTGATGCATTTTCACTTAATGCAGACCTACTTTACTACTCAACCAGGATATAATCTGCCATTTTCTATCTAAACAGGGGACTCCTTAATTTACAAAGATAACTGAAAATAAACTGTACCCTAGAATAAACAAAATTTCAAAACACATTTTTGCACTGGAAGTGTATATAATACGGATATACGTAGTAAAAGAGCTTTGTTCTAAGAAATAACAGAGCCAAGTAGAAATACAAAATTTAATTCAAAAGAACATTACAGTACACATTTGAGAAAGGTACTAGAGAAAAAGATTTCAAATGATGTTTACCCACTAACTAATGGGTGTAAAGTAGAAATAACTGATACTCTTTGAATTTTTTGTTAAAATTTATAGCATTAAAATTATAAAGTGGAAAAAAAACACAAAAAACTTGATTTTATATCATCTATGTTGAGTGAGATGTTCAAGCACATAAATTGTAGGACTTCAGCAATATTCAGGTAGTGACTCTATTACCAGGGGTTCTTGAACTTCAGTGTACAGCAGAATGACCTGAAGCGCCTATGAAAACACAGATTGCTGGACCCCATACCTGGAGTTTCTGATTCAGTAGTTGTTGGGCAGGATCTTAGAATTATATTTCTAACAAGTTCTCAGGTGATCTGATGCTGCTGGTTCTGCTGGAACCATACTTTGAGAACTACTGCTACAGACTTCTCAGTGATATTGAGAATTATGTGTTAACCCATGTCAGTGCCTTCAAGGCAAAGGCAGGGTGTCTTGGAGACATTTTACAACTATACCTAAAGACATTCGCTGAAAACTCTAAGTCTTCAATGGAAATTGTGAAGAGAATCTGACCAGTCACTATTAAAAAAAACCTCAAGGAAGTACAAGTGTACCTCGTATTACAGTACAAGAGCTCCTTTTAGGAGTGGTAGTTGGTTAGTTATTTTTAAGTTGGTTGGGCAGATGTATTGGTATACTGGAGTGAGCTTAATAGCCATGGGCATCAGTCTATATGTTCTAGAGATGGAATGCAGAACATTCCTAACTCCACTTAAATACAGCATGAGAGTTTCTACCATAATGGCAAGCAAGGACAGATAATTTTTAGAGGTCTACATGGATCATGCCACCTCCAGTAACATCTTCAAATATAAAAATATATTAAAAATAAGCAAAAAAATAAAGGTCACCAAAGAAAATACTGAGATTCCTGTTATCACCATAAAGTATTGTCAAGTGCTTGTAATACATTTAGATACTGTTCACAGCATAGAACCTACAAGCACAATTACCAAAAAAATTAAAAGGTAAAATAAATATATTAAGCTTTTATTAAGTTAGTATAATTCCTATAATGGTTAGTATAACTCAGTTACAATGGATGGTCAATTTCTCACTTTTTATAATCAATATATGGAAGGCATGCAATGCTAAGTTCGTCTTTTGTACATCCTTTAAGACAACACTTTTCTGAATAGCCTCTGCGTTTTCTTTGGGGATGATTCCCCCAAAACAAATTGCTTGAGGTTTTGATTTTCTTTGTACGTCTCTCCTGAAATTCCACAATCTTATGAATATCTGGATTGGTATGCGGTGAGGAAAATTCTCTTGTCTTATCAGGTGGGGAGTTGTCCTTTTGATGCTGATGTTCAGGCAGTGAGCGCATCTTCAAACTGTTTATTGCTTCTTCCATAGAGGCAGCAGTAGAGACTGTAGAGAAACAAGGAAAAAACCCTACTTTATTTAAATATTCTTTAGATGGAAATTTAATAATACTAGAATACTAAAATTGGTCCAATATTGAAAAATCAAGAAGTCACATTTTACATAAAGAATAGAAAGTATGGTTATTCAAAATATATAATTTTTAACTAAAATAGTTTTAGGTAGTGTTTTCTTATAAAAAGGCTTAGAAACCTTTGCACATATTTTGTATAACATTTTTTACTGAGATGTAATTCATATTAATTTTAAATGTGTATTTTCAAGTATACACTTAAGTGGTTTTTAGTATATTCACAAGGTTGTGCAACCACCATCACTGATTCCAGAACATTTCTATCACCCCAAAAAGAAACCCTGTACCAATCGAAGTCATTCCCATTTCCCTCTCCTGCCAGCCCCCTGCCAACCACTAATCTATCTCTAGGGATTTGTTTATTATGAAGATTTTATATAAATGGAATTATACAATATGTGGTCTTTTGTGCTTGGCTTCTTTCACTTAGCATAATGTTTTCAAGGTTCATCCACATTGTATCATGTATCCAGCACTTCATTCCTTTTTATAGCTGAATAATACTCCATTGTATGGATATACCACACTTCATTCATCAGTTGGTAGACATTTGAGTTGTTTCCACTTTTTGGCTAATTTGAATGCTGCCATGAACATTTGTGTACAAGTTTTTATGTGCATGTTTTCAGTTCTCTTGGGTATGCATACAGGAGTGGAACTGCTGGATCATATGGTAATTTTATGTTTAAGTTTTTGAGAAACTGCCAAACTTTTCCACAGTAGTGACACCATTTTACATTCCCACCATTGATGTATAAGAGTTCCAATTTCTCCACATTCCTGCCAACACTTGTTATTTTCCATTTTTTGATTATAGTCATCTAGTGGGTGTGAAGTGGTTTTCATTTACATTTCCCTAATGACTAATGGTGGTGCACTGGTTAAGAACCACAGCTGCTAACCAAAAGGTCGGCAGTTCAGATCCACCAGCCACTCCTTGGAAACCCTATGGAGAAATTCTACTCTGTCCTATATGGTTACTGTGAGTCAGAATCAACTCAACGGCAACAGGTTTTGGTTTTAATGACTAATGATGTTGAGCATCTTTTCATGTGCTTATTGGCCATTTGTACATCTTCTCTGGAGAAATATCTATTCAAATTCTTCGCCCATTTTTAAAATTGGGTTGTCTCTTTATTCACATTTTATAATTAAGTGCTTAGTAGAAACCATTTTGTTCTTCATCGAAATATAAGGAAATGGAAGAGTGGTGATATGCTCCAGGTGCAGTGAACTGATTGTTACTAACATTCACAATCAGACTGCTCTTAACTTATTCAATATTATTGGAAAGAAATGAAACTAACTCCAGGAGGTAATTATTTCGAGGCTTGCTGAACTTCCATCACAGTCTGTCTTAGTTATCTAGTGCTGCTATAACAGAAATACCACAAGTGGATGGCTTTAACAAAGAGAAATTTATTCTCTCACAGTCTAGTAGGCTACAAGCCCAAATTCAGGGCATCAGCTCCAGGGGAAAGCTTTCTCTGTTGGCTCTGGAGGAAGGTCCATGTCATCAATCTTCCCTTGGTCTAGGAGCTTCTCTGTGCAGGAACCTCAGGTGCAAAGGGCATGATCTGCTCCTGGCACTGCTTTCTTGGTGGTATGAGGTTCCCCATGTCTCTCTGCTTGCTTCTCTCTTTTATCTCAAAACAGACTGGCTTAAGACACTATTTAATCTTGTAGATCTCATCAATGTAACTGCCACTAATCCATCTTACTATGTCATAGTGATAGAATTTACAACACATAGGGAAATTACATCAGATGACAAAATGGTAGACAATCATACAATACTGGGAATCATGACCTAGCCAAGTTGACAGATATTTTTTGGGGACACAATTCAATCCATGACACGGTCCTAGTCCATCTACAATCCCTTCTAGGAGAACATAATTGCCTATGCCCTATTAGACAGCCATGTTCTGAACCATGGGACTCCACCCTATAGCCATAGTTGAACAGACTGAAGTTGGCACCTGATCCCAAAGATTCCAGTCTATTACAGTGGCCCATAAGTAATACACGCCATGTGAAAAAATGAGTTGCCCAATCAATTTTTTCTCTCTTTGAAATTAGAACTAAGAACTAATGAGAAAATGAGGAGTTAGTGAGAACCAAAGCTGAAAGGATTCTATGAGGCTTGTCATGATAAGCTAAGTCATAAAGGAAGACACAGAGAGAAGCAAAGATTCAAAAAGATAGAGAGAAGGTTATTTCTAAGAGCCGATGTGATTCCTTAGGCTTTCCAGAGCCTTAATTCAGGTCCTTTTCTAGACTTTGTTTATCTTTATAGTAACTCTTTCTTTTCTTGAGGTTACTGAGGTGAATCTCTTCCTTTCAGTTAAAGAATTCTGTTAGAACACTCTTCAACAGCTTTAATAAATGCCTAAGATGAACTGTGGAACATTAAACTTTAGGATAGATATTAAAGAACAAGTAGTTAATAAATAAATGACCAAGTCATCTAAGATAGATAAATATGCACTGAAGGGAAAAGGTGAATTGGGTTGTCTTGGCTTCATGGATGAGGTATGCCATGTTCTGTGACTTAAAGGCAAAAAAAGGCAGACGATAAGAAGGAAACTTCCATGAAAGAAGGGCACTAGGGACTAGTTAATTAAAAGGTACCTGTCAAATTGGGAAGATACAGCTACAGATGTACTTTAAAAGGAAACAAGCTGTCCTCATCAGAAAACAAGAAGGGGTAAAAATGAGTACTAACTCAAACGAATTCGAAACAGAGCAACAGACAATCCAAAAGAGAAAGAAGGAAAAAAAAATTAATGAAATACATAACCATCATAACAAATATAAAAAGGTTAAGAAAACCACAAGTTTGTTCTTTAAAAAGAGTAATAAAATAGAACTCTAGCCAGACTAATGAAGAAAGATGAAAATGAACAAAATCTAGTAGGAAAAATGGAATAGCTACAAATATAACCATGATTTTTTTAAATAAATGAATATCATGAATGCTTATAAACTTACAATTCTAGATAAAATGGATAAATTCCTAAAAAATACAAGATGCCAAAAATGTTGCACATGGAGACTTAAATATACTAACAATATTACAAAAAAAAAGCATAGTCATAGTAATTAAGAAAAATGCAGACATTTAAAGGTAGATTCCACCTATTTTTCAAGAACAGTAAATCCCAATAGTATGTAAGTTGTTCCAGGAAAATAGGAAAAGAGTGAAAGCTACCCAGCTCATTTTATGAAGTTAGTATAATATTTATTATACCAGAATACCAACTGAAATGTTTCAACAAATAGATTCAATGCTGGAAACAAGCGCTCAATCATCTATGTTAAGAAGTTTGGAAGACAGCTACCTGGCCAACTGACTGGAAAAGATTCATATTTGTGCCCATTCTAAAGAAAGGTGATCCAACAGAATGCAGAAGTTATCGAACAATATCATTAATATCACATGCAAGTAAAATGTTGCTGAAGATAATTAAAAAATGGTTATAGCAGTATATAGACAGGGAACTGCCAGAAATTCAAACTGGATTCAGAAGAGGACATGGAATGATTGATATCACTGCTGATGTCGGATAGCTTCTGGCTGAAAGCAGAGACTACCAAAAAGATGCTTACCTGTGTTTTATTGACTATGCAAACACATTCAACTGTGTGAATCATAACAAATTATGGATAACATTGTGAAGAATGAGAATTCCAGAACAATTAATTGTGCTCAGGGGGAACCTGTACATAGACCGAGAGGCAGTCATTCGAAAAGAACAAGGGGACACTGTGTGGTTTAAAGTCAGGAAAGGCGTGTATCAGGATTGTATCCTTTCAGCACACTTATGCAATCTGTATGCAGGGGAAATAATCCAAGAAGCTGGACTATATGAAGAAGAATGAGGCATCAGGATTGAGGGAAGACTCGTTAGCAACCTGTGATGTGCAGATGACACAACCTTGCTTACTGAAAATGAAGAGGACTTGAAGCACTTACTGATGAAGATCAAAGACCACAGCCTTCAGTATGGATTACACCTCAATATAAAGAAAACAAAAATCCTCACAACTGGACCAATAAGCAACATGATAAACGGAGAAAAGATTGAAGTTGTCAACAATTTCATTTCACTTGGATACACAATCAACACCCACGGAAGCAGCAGTCAAGAAATCAAAGCACATATTGCATTGAGGAAATCTACTGCAAAAGATCTCTTTAAAGTGTTAAAAAGCAAAGATGTCACTTTGAGGACTACAGTGCGCCTGACCCAAGCCATGGTACGTATTTTCAATTGCTGCATATGCATGTGAAAGCTGGACAATGAATAAGGAAGAAGAATTGATGCCTTTGAATTATGGTGTTGCTGAATACTGAATATACCATGGACTGCCAGAAGAACGAACAAATCTGTCTTGGAAGAAGCACGGCCAGAATGCAACTTAGAAATGAGGATGGTGAGATTTCATCTCACGTACTTTGGACGTGTTATCAGGAGGGATCAGTCCCTGGAGAAGGACATCATGCTTGGTAAAGTAGAGGGTCAGCAAAAAAGAAGAAGACTCTCAATGAGATGGACTGACACAGTGGCTGCAACAATGGGCTCAAACATAGCAACGATTGTGAGGATGGCACAGGACCAGGCAGTGTTTCATTCTGTTGTACATAGGGTCGCTATGAGTTGGAACTTACTTGACAGAACCTACTAACAACAGTATTATATTTATTCCAAAACTAGATAAAAACAATATGAGATAAAAAATAATTTATAAGCCCATTTCACTTATAAATGTCGATTTGAAAGTCCTAAATAAGATATTAGTTAACTGAACCCATAAATATATTTTCAAAAAATTATTAAGAAATGGTTTATCCCAGAAATGCAAGAATAAGATCAGAAAATCTACCAATGCAGTTTACCACATTAATAGCCGCCCAGCTTCACTCTGTTGACTTTACTTTCTACTTCATGAGAAAATTGAAGCAATCAGAACAGAACTTCATTTGCTCTCTTTACAATTTTTTTTTCTTTTTTTTTACTTAGTTCTTAACATCTGTGCCCATATATTCTGCCTTCCAACCTAGGTATTTCCACAGTTGTATATCCACTCTAAAACCAATTCCTCAGTTATGTACTAATCTCATTTCTCCCCTACTCAAGGACATCACTCCATCGCTATACTCATCATCATTTTCACTTCTACCGAATTACTCCCACCAACAAACAAATACGTTATTTCTCCCACTTAAAAAGAAACAAAACACTTCTTTTGGTCCCACTTACCCTGCCAGCTACCGCCCCATTTTTCTCTGCCCTCGGTAGCATAACTCCTTGGTAGAGTTTTTTACATTCACTAATTAACTCCTGTCCTTTCATTCTGTCTTAAACCACTCTACTCAGGCTTTTGTTCCATTACTCCACCAAAATTTCTCCTATCAAGGTCACAAATGACCTCCACGCTGCTAAATTCAACAGCCAATTCTCATCTTACTTGTCAAAAATATTCTCTCTTGATATACTTTCTTCACGTGGTTTCCAGGATGCCCCACTCTCTTGGTGTTCTTCCTACCTGACTGGTTGCTTCTTTTCTGTCTGCTATGCAAGTGGCTTAACTATAATCTTCTATCTTGGAAACACATACCTCTTGTCTTAGTTATCTAGTGCTGCTATAATAGAAATACCACAAGTGGATGGCTTTAACAAACAGAAGCTTATTCTCTCACAGTCTAGTAGGCTAGAAGTCCGAATAAGGGGAAGGCTTTCTCTCTCTGTCAGTTCTGGGGAAAGGTCCTTGTCATCAATCTTTCCCTGGTCAAGGAGCTTCTCAGTTCAGGGACCCTGGGTCCAAAGGACATGCTCTGCTCCTGGCACTACTCTTTTGGTGATATGAGATCTCCATATTTCTCTGCTGGCTTCTCTCTTTTATATCTCAAAAAAGATTGACTTAAGACACAACTGAATCTTGTAGATTGAGTACTGTGTCATTAACATAACTGCCGCTAATCCCACCTTATTAACATCATAGATGTAAGATTTACAACACATAGGAAAATCACATCAGATGACAAAATGGTGGGTAACCATACAATACTGAGAATCATGGATTAGCCAAGTTGACACACATTTTGGGGGGACACAATTCAATCCATAACACCTCTGGACAACTTCTAAATTATTCACTGGAAATTATCAGGACAGATTAAATGTCATTTTTCTTATAGATTAATAATTTTAGATGTTTAAATACAAACTCATATTGATAACCTAAACCCATTTTCCTTCTTCTGCATATTTCAAAACGATGATGGATTTACTGTCACCTGGTATTTCCACTTTACCAAAGTATCCTTTGCATAGTTACAGGGTGAATGGGTATAATAATTCTGAAATTTTGTCAGATGTATTTTTATTTCCTACAAATCTCGTTTCACTGCAGCTCTTCATTTATTGAATTAAAAGCATTTATTCTTAGGGGGAAGGTGAATAACAGAATAAAGGGGTCATGAATCAGCTCTGAGTTTTAAAGTTGACCCTTTTTTATTAAGCAAATAGTTTCCAGAGAAATCTTTGTTGAGAAAAGGAATTCCAAACTTTCCTTTAAGAACAAACTCAAGCTTGGTGGTCTAATGGTAAAATGTTGACTATAGTATCGGTAGTGAGAACACAGTATTTGAGGTAAGAGAAATGCTCAACATGAAGCAGAAAAAGGAAGGCTCTCCTTTTAGTACTAGGAGTGAGGAATAAGAAAGAGAGAGAGAGGAGGTGAACCAGAGTCTTACCACTAAAAAGTCTGGTCCACTGGCTAGAAGCAGCAGCAGTAGCATCAGCTGGGCCTTTTTAAAACTACACAATCTCTGGGCCCCATTCCAGACCTAGTGAATCAGAATCTGTATATTAACAGGATTTCTCAGGTGATTCATATGTAATCCACATTAAAGTTGGAGAAGCACTGAACCAAAGTGAAAGAATTGGAGGAGATATACTTCCTCCATTATAAGAGGACAAAACGAACTTATGTGTAGGTACGTTTGATGATGGGAAATGTTCAAGATTCGGTCATGATGGTTTCTGTTGTTTCTGTCTTTAAAAGTTTTCATTTTCCTAGCAGCAATACGTTCCATTTGTTCATTCATTAAAAAAAGAGTTGATGAGTGCCTACAATGTGCCAGGCACTGTTTCAGTCACCTACATAAGGGATTCTTTATGACGTGAATTGCTTTCTTAATTTCAGGAATCTTGACTTTTGTTAATACTTGTCCAAATCAAATCAGCTAAATTGCTTTAAAAGGCAATGCTTTCAATGACACTATGCTATTAATAGCCCATAAATAAAGTGTCTTTTCTCTTAAAATGGTAGACCATGTTGGGACTAAAATGTGTTAGTCACAAAATGTAACAACATACTTGGAAGATACTGATGGATCTCAAACAAGAATATTCTTCCTAAATATTGCTTAAAAGCAGTAAGTATGTTGTTTTTGTTAGCTGCTGTTGAGTTGGCCCCCAAGTCATGGCAACCCCATGCACAACAGAACCTAATGCTGCCCACTCCTACACCATCCCTATGACAGGTTGTGGATCAGACCATTGTGAGCCATAGGGTTTTCACTGGCTGATTTTCAGAAGTACATCACCTGGCCTGTCTTCCTACTCCATCTTAGTTTGGAAGCTCTGCTAAAACTTGTTCAGCATCAGTGCAACATGCAAGCCTTCACTGACAGGTGAGTGGTGGCTACGCATGAGGTGCACTGGCTGGGAATCAAACCTGGGTCTCCCACATGGAAGGTGAGAATTCTACCACTGAACCATCACTGGCCCCACAGTAAGTATAAATTCAATATATACCAAGTACCTACTATGTGTAGGTCCTCAGCTCAGCATTTCAGATAAAAACATTTGAGCTGCGATGATATTCAGGGCTGGCTTTATCGGAGTGAGACCTGTGCAGCCAAAGAAGCCCAGTCCTTAGAAGGACCCTGAATTTGGTTTGATGCTTGTTGTCGTTGACTTGAATTTTTCAGTAATTTTACGTTTGAACTTGTAAGTGAAGTATGTGCACAAGAGACTCAAAAGAAAGGAAAAAAAAAAAAAACCTTCATATTTTGCTAACTTTAATGGTCCTTCCCTGATTTTTCAGCAAGGAATCCTGCATTTTCATTTTGCACTGGGCTCAGCAAATTATATAGCTGGTCCTGATGACAATCAGGGTCCCTGGGTAGTGCAAACAGTTTTGTCCTTCTCTTACAATGTACTTTGGTGGTTGGAACCCATACCGTTATGCCGTGGAAGAAAGACCTGGAGATCTGCTTCTGTAAAGATGACAGCCAAGAAAATCCTACGGAGCAGTTATACTCTCTCACATGGGGTCACCATGAGTAAGAATCGATTCATGGCAACAGGTTTGGTTCTGATGATGGTCACATAGAACTATGTGCTAGGTACTGTGGTAGAAGTAAGGCAGGAGTGATTAGCTCTGAAAGGGTCAGTGATGACTTCAAAGTTGGGTTTTGAAGGGCAAGAAGAAGTTTGTCAGGTGACAAGCGCACTGCAGACGGGGGAACCTAGGGAAGCGGCAGCTTTCTTACATAAATGTGTGGTCCGATATGCATATGCTTATTTCTCCCAGGTTAAAAACAAAAAAGAAGAGATTCATAGAGATTTTGTGTATCTTCCATACATACCGCTTTGTTTATATGTTTGTTTTTAATTGTGTACTAGGCACAAATTCCATTTCCTGGGGATGACCGTCTGCCAGAGCAAATTCGAGGATGAGAAGTGTACAGAGATTTGCAAACATGCCTTTGGTTTAGATTTTTACCTGGGTGTTTGCCTGTGCCCCTGACACGGGACGGCGCTCGGGGGATTGGGAGCCCGGCGGGGAGGAAGGCTCCCAACGCGTCCACAGCACGGGGCACCGGATGCTGGTAATGGGGTTCCTCCTCAAACAGGCTCCAGTCTTCCAGGCCACAGAGTTTTACTATTTCCTTCAGCAGGTGCCTGCCGCATAGCTTCTTGGCACGGGCGGCGCTGCCCAGCTCAAAGGAGAACAGAACCAGCAGGAGCCCGAGCCGCAGCCAACACAAACAGAGGAGACGGGGCATCCCTGGGCCCCCGTCAGGCCCCCGGCGGCCCCTAACGGTCCTCCTCGGTACCCGGCCCTGCTCTGCGCCTGCGCCTGACGGAGTCTCCCGTGCGGATAACGCGCAGGCTTGTGAGTGCGAGCTGGCCTCGCGAGAACAGTGAGGCGCATGGAGATTAAGGCGGCTCCTGAGCATGTGCGGGCCTCTTGAGGACGCAGAGGCGAGGCGCGCAGCGGCGACCACCGAGGCTTCTGAGCGCCCTCAGTCCTGGTGAGAACGCTGAGGTGAGGCGCGGGGTGACGACGACGATGGCAGCCCCTTCCCACAGTTCTCAGGCGTCGGCGGAGAGCAGGCTCGTTTCTTAAAATGAAGGCCGAAAGTAGCCCATTTTTCTCGCCATCCTCACTGGAGAGACTCATCAGATGAAACATGGGAACGTGGGGCCCCATTCACTGATAATGTGGTCACAAAAGATGCTGCTCCTTTCGCCTGAAATGCGTTTTCCTTCCTCTTCGCCGGGCTTTCCGTGAAACTTGGCTTCCTCAGAGAATCCTCTAGCTGCCTTCATGTTCATCACGGTACGGTAGCTCTCTTCACATTTACTTGTGTGAGAACGTCTCCGCCCAGCCCCGGGCTTCCTGAAGGCAGGGCCGGCGTCCGTTCTGCTTTCCTGGCGGTTGGCCATAGATCAGTGTATGTTAAAATGCGTGGGCGCCGGACTACGGTGCATGTGCTTTCCAGGTCAGTTCCAAGATTCTTCAGAAAACGCCTGCCACTTCCAGGGGGGAAGTGGGCCTTAGTCTCAATCTCATGAACAAAGACTTAGGGTGGCTGTCCTAAAGGACCTTGGATCAAAATCTGGTTCTTCCGGTCATGGATTCTAGGCAATTACCTACTGTCAAATTGTGACTAGTTTGTCCCAGGGACCCCTAGAGGATTTGCCTTCTAAGAATGCCAGTATGACATGCAATTTTAGGTGGGATAATTGCTAAATTAGGAGGGCATGCGGGGAAGTGCAGCCCAATAAGTATAGATTGCTTTATCATTTGGGAATTTGACCCAGGGTAAAGCTTGAGGCATGCTGAATTTGAGATGACTGTTGTCCTAGTCATCTAGTGCTGCTGTAACAGAAATACCACAAGTGGATGGTTTTAACAAAGAGAAGTTTATTTCCTTACAGTAAAGTAGGCTAAAAGTTCAAATTCAGGGTGTCAGCTCCAGGGAAAGGCTTTCTCTCTCTTGGCCTTCTCATCAGTTTTCCCCTGGACTGGGAGCTTCTCGGCGCAGGGACCCCTGTCCAAAGGATGCATTCTGCTCCTGGCACTGCTTTCTTGATGGTATGAGGTCCCCAACTCTCTGCTTGCTTCCCTTTCCTTTTATCTCTTGAGAGATAAAAAGTGGTGCAGGCCACACTCCAGGGAAACTCCCTTTACACTGGATCAGGGATGTGACCTGGGTAAAGGTGGTGTTACAATGCCACCCTAATCCTCTTTAACGTAAAATTACAATTACAAAATGGAGGCCATCCACACAATTCTGGGAATCATGGCCCAGCCAAATTGATACACACATTTTTGGGGGGACATAATTCAAACCATGACAACTGTGAAACATTCAAGAGGAATTGCCTAATGAAGATAATGGAAATACGGGGCTGGTAGTATACTGTGATATCAGATGTAGAAGTCAACAGTGAAGAGTTGCAAGAGAAAGCCATGAAACTTAATGAACTCTTTGGCTGACTGCAGTGTACATAGCTTCAAAACAGAAAAGAAAAGGGAATTTCATTTGGGGAGAAGAGAGAAAAGAGCTAAAGGAGGAGAAAAGCAGATGGATTGAGAGAGGGTGTAAAAAGAACGATATCATGTTCGGAAAGCAAAGGGGGAAGAGAATCTAAAAGAGGGACATTAATAGAGCCACATATGAAAGAGAATAGAACTAAGAATAGCAATTGAATTTAGAGGTTGGAGGCTAGTGTGGAATCTAACAGGATCAGAGAAGAGTAGGGAAGCCAGTTCATTGTGGATCCCAGAGGGAATGAGAGGTAAAGAACTAGAAGCAGTTTGTTTAGTCTGGCAGAGAAAGGGTTAATGCAAAGATAATTTTCTTTGCTTATTAAAAGTATTAGAAACAAGAAAATTCCCATGCAGAAGGAGAGGTCGATAATGTGCAGCGTCACTGTGTAGCAGGGTAATTGAGATATTCGTTTTTACTTTTTCAGCCTATGTTTCTCCATTCTGCCTTCCATAAGGTCTCTCTACAAATTCCAACCAAGTCCTCAGAGCCTTTGTATTTCCCTACCTGAGGAACTTTTGCAGGGCAGAAAGAGAACCTGCTTCGAGTTGCTTTTTCTTGAGCTATGAATACCTGGAATTAGCTGTGATGGCACAAATGGGTAAGCGCTCGGCTGCTAACTGAAATGTCGGTCGTTTGAATCCACCCATCCTCTCTGTGGGAGAAAGATGTGGTAGTCTGCTTCCGTAAAGATTTACAGCCTTGGAAACCCCTATTATAGGACAGTTCTACTCTGTCATACAGGGCCTCTATGAGTCGGAATCAACTTGATGGCAATGGGGCTTTGGATTTGCTTTGGAAAAGTTTATAGCCTTGGAAACCCTATGGGACGGTTGTACTCTGTCCTACAGAGTAGTTATGAGTTGGAATTGACTTGACAACTAACAGTAACAACAACAAATAAATACTTGAGTCAGTCAAAAGATTATGCCTGTGTCCCTATTGACAGAAGTTGGATTTATGTTGATTTGGTTTGTTAAAAATGAAGAAGTTGACTATTTCTTGCACACCAGAGACCGTGGTTGCAAATTTATACCTGTTACACACAGAAATAATCTCTTAGGGATAAGAAAGGTATTGACCATAACGCATATGGGCTGGTGGAGGGGTTATTTTTTTTGAGACACTTTTAGTCTAAAATGGAGGAAAAGATAGGCAAGAAGATAGTGGTATATACTAATAAAGATGAATGTGACTGTGGTGAAATGAGTTTCTTTATGTGGCCTTTTCCTTGCTTCTGTGAAAAAGAGAGAAAAAGAAAACAACTTGGGAGATTTTTCCTCTGGGCGTTGAGGAGTTGTTACAGTTCCCCTTGTTACAGTTGCCCAGGGAAGAAGCCAGTCCCTGCTGGCAGAAAATGTCACTTGTTATGCAAATAGATGGAGCCACTTATTAGGGGATTGGTCAATTTAGTCCAGCAAGGAGATTGGTCAGTTATTATGCAAATATGGTGTGTCAAATTCACCCATTGGGATTGAGCCACTTGCGTATAAAAGCGGCTATCCCACAAGAGTTGAGGGGGTACCTTACTATCATCAGCAGAAGAGCCTAGAGTGGAGCACATCCTTTGACACCAAGGTCCCTGCACTGAGAACCTCCTACACCCAGGAAACAGAGCTGTAACACTGGAGAAGGCACGAGATGGTGAGAAGCAGTGACAGAGAAACGGCAGCAGCAGAACAAGGAGATCGAGGCGAGACGGCGCAGTGGGCTTCCCAGCCCATGGAGTGAGGTGGCTACAGTGGGCTTGCCGACCCATTGAGTGAGAGAGAGCTGAGTACCTTCAGGCAGGAGGCTTACTGGTGGAGTGGGGTGCGTCCAGGCACTTGTTGGCAGGGCTGAAAGAGCTGCAACACTTGCCTGAGCAGGGCAGAGACTGAGAAGAAGCCTGCCCTAAGGGAGCTGAGAAGAGGCTCGTCATAAAGGGGACACTAAGGGGGCCAAGAGGAGGCCCATCCTAAGAGGGCGTGCATGGCCGAGAGAGAGGTAGAGAGAGAGAGAGATGCCTTACCCTAAAGAAAGGATGTGCTCTTCATTTTAAGGAAGCCTCCCAGACCTGTGTATTTCCTGACATTGATCTTCTTCCTGTTACTTGCAAGTTAATTCTGGTCCCATGTTACCTTCCTAATAAACCATATGACTGTTGAGTATGATCTGTGAGTTCTTTGTGGCCATTGCAATGAATTATCGAATCCAGCAGACAAGTAGAGAATGCTGTGGGGAGGATAGCTAGTGTCAGACTTGGTAAAGATCGGAGAGTTGAGGTATGTCTAACCTCCTCCATCGCATAGGATATAAACTTTGGGCTGATCCTGATGGTGGTTCTTATTCTCCCTGAAGTTAGACAAGGTCTGACACTACCACTACCACATTACAGTGACCAAGTCACTGACTGGTGGTGAAAGACCTCAGTGTTGTCAGTTAAGTGTGAGCTAAGAACTAGTAGAAGGTGGGGTAGGGAGGAGTCCTTGGAGAGAATGAAGTTCTAGAATTCACATTTAGAAATATGATTGGGAATAAATAAGATAAAAACAGAAGGGTTAAATCAGCAACAAAGATTCCAGGACGAAAGTTTGTCTCTTGAAAAATGTTGACTTTCTTCCTAAAATTTTGCATTCTGTTGGTCTCCGTTTCCTCATCTGAGAAGAAGTACTAAAAGTGGCCTCGGTGAATACTTAACCCCAGAGATCTAGTTATGATTCGCCATGTATGGGATTTGGAATATGGGAATTGCTATCTTCATATGCTGTAATTTTGTGTACAGATATTTAATGATTTAATGGAGGAAAATAACGTGTTATCTCAATGCATTTTCTCTATAAATTCTGGCTAAAAATGTACAAGTATATAGGTTGTGATTTTTTTTTTAATTGTGCTTTAGGTGAAAGTTTACAGCTCAAGTTAATTTCTCATTCAGAAATTTATACATATTATTTTGTGACATTGGTTGCAATCCCCAGGGTGTGACAGCATGCTCCCCTTTTCCACCCTGGGTTTTTTGTGCCCATTTGTTCAGTTACTGTTCCTTCCTACCTTCTCATCTTGCTTTTGGACAGGAGTTGACCATTTGGTCTCAGATATTTGATTGAACTAAGAGGTATGTTCCTCACATTTGTTATTATTTGTTTTATAGACTTGTCTAATCTTTGCCTGAAAAGTGGGCTTAGGGAATGGTTTCAGTTCTAGGTTAGCAGAGTGTGTGTGAGGGGCATAGTTTTGGGGGTCCC